GTGACACTCTGTTCCTGCACATGCTCCCAAGGTGTGTAGGGTGGACCGGTGCCTCCCAGATCTGTGAATGGTATGGGAGCGGGCTGCTTGCTGTGGGCTCAGGCACCCCATTCTGCTGCCCTCCCCTGGGGCCTCCACAGCCTAGTGGGCAGGACCTGGCACAGCAGGGCTGGGTGGGGAAGCTCGCTGCTCCTGCGAGCTCCACGCTGCCCTGACAACATGCCCTGTTTGTCCCGCAGTGGTTTGATAGTTTGTAGGGGTGGAAGGGACCTGAGCAGATCATCACGTCCAACCCCCTGTGAGGTAGTGAGGGGCACAACCCCACGCCACTGCCCCCCCTGTTGCCAGGCAGGTAGGGAACATGTCGCCAGGGCAGTGTGGAGCCTGCAGTGGCAACAAGCTTCCCCACCCGGCCCTGCCACACAGGGTCTTGCCTGCTGGGCTGCAGAGGCCCTGAGGGAGGGCAGCAGGACAGGGAGCCCAAACCCACAGAGGGCAGCCTGCCCCCACACTCACCCTGTGCAAAGATCTGGGGGCACAGGTTCCCCCTGCCCTCCCTGAGAGTGAATGAAGCAGTGAAGAGCCAGCCCCACTCCACTGTCCCCCAGATGAACTGGCTGCAGCCCCGACCCGCTCCCTGCCAGGGGCCTGTGCCCATTCTTTACAGCTCCAGGCCCCAAGCCCCACCTGGCTGCGCAGCAGCCCCAGCCCTGCCCAACTCCCTCCCTCCATCCCTATGGGGGCCTCAATCCCCACTTGCCCCCCGCCAATCTTACCTGCAGGAGCTGCTCTCCAGGCTGCCTGGCAGCCATGTGCATATACATGCACGTGGTACCCTGACTGCCCTCCTCCCACTCCCCCCAGCCCCTTACAGGCTACAACCCTGCCAGCCTGCAGGGAGCTCTTTACAAAAGTGCAAAACCTGCACGTTTTTCTGTTAAAATGAAAAATCCAGTTGTTCCTCACATAAAAGGGGAAATACATGGGTTTTTTTCCATTTCCCCATGGGAAACAGAAAACCCAGATCCCTGATGATTTATCACAGTTTTTTTTATAGCCAAATGTCTACTATTAGAACATACTTAAAAAAACGTAATTCTCACTAGTAACCTAAGATCTAGGTATAGTCATAGCCTCAGAACAAACCTAAATTACATGGATACTGGCAGGGGACACAAATTTTTTAGCAAGCAGTAAACGTGAAAGAAATATAGGCTGATAGACTGAGAATAAGACATTTCATTTATAAGGTAACTTGTTCCGCTTAAAATAAAACAAGAGAGCAGACTGGTTTATTTTCTACACAAAAAACCCCATCATGCTAGTCTGAACACATACCATTCATTTTCTTTAAACTTGAAGTCTCCTACTTTTGTGCACAAGCCCCCCCCATGGTTCTTATATAATCTCTGTTCGTTCAGTTGACATAGTTATTTATCCTTGTCCTCTTCTTTAGTAATGATGATATAAAATACATATCTTGAAAAATCTCTCTTAAAATCTATTGCCTAAGGGTGTCTGTACATGAGCTCAGAGGCTGCTCCGACATGCTGTAATTACAATGCAGACTATTAATTGAGTCTGCCAAAGCATGGTAATTACCACTCTCCAGCAGCCTCTCATATCTTGTGTATCAGCGTCCCAGCACTTCAAAATGGGACAAGCTTTAGTTCAAGTGCCCCCACTGCCATTTTGAAGCGTGAGGGCACTGATACTCAAAAAACTATGGCGCTTTAATTAGAGCAGTTCTTAGAGCCAGTCTAATTAAAGCACCACCCCTCCTGCCCCTGGAGCACATGTAAAAGTGCCCTAAGAGACTAACATAATACTAACGATTATTTAAGGACTTGAGCTAAAATGTGAAGTTAGACAAGAGACTCCCATATTTTCTTTTTATATGCTTGAACAGATTATTTTTAAGAGGTATTCAGAATTATACCAGCTCACCTGACATGGTAATCTGTTGCTGGCCTAAGGTCCTTCAGGTTATATTCCAACTCTTCTCCACTGCAGAAAGAAATCATCAATAAATCATGAAAATCAGAACCATACTTAGTACAAGCTATTGAATTTATGGTAATTGGGAACTGAACCTTAGTCACTTCCATACTAGCTTTGTTATTTTACTCTCATTATTGGAAATTACCTACGGTACTTAAAAATGCTTAATAATCAAGCTGGGGTGACGAATATTATATCAAAAGATTCTAACAATTGTGTGTGGACTGTTGCATCTTGCACTGATATTTCGTTTGGGCTCTCATTTCAGCTTCTCTTGCCAATATATGCCCAACTTTAGGACCATAACAGGGTCTTGCTACTAAGAACATCATCATCCTAACAGCATCAGCGCAGCAGCAAAACTCCAACCGATTCCAGCCTCAGATGCTGAAATATTAATTTTTAAAAAAATCCTGCAAGTTAACTAATACATCCAGGGCCATGTTTACTAGAGGTGCACTGATATATAGGTTCATATCGGATCAGCACTGATAAAAGGAAAATTTACATCATCAGCAATTGGCTTTTTTTGCTCAGCATAACCGATAATATCACTGATAAATGCTGTGTGCAGCCACAACATGCACGCAGCCAGGAATGCAGTCTTGTAGCTTGGAGAGGAGCATCTGGTGTGTGAGCCTGTTGGGGCAGGGGGGCAGGGAGGGAACACGATGACAACAACTCACTCTTGCCCCACGCACAAATCCAGGGGCCACATGGCCCTCATGCCTCTCCTGGGGGTGCATGCAGTGGTGGGAGCTGCCCCTTCCCCACTCTCCTATGCCCCCCCAGATGAGCTGCCTGTGGCTGTCCCATGCCTCACCCTACCCC